TAACGTGAGCTGGTCGTTATCGCAAAATAAACAGGCAGGACCATCAGGGCGGCCCAAAATGGGTTTATTTTGTAAGAATGACCGACTGGCAATATGTGATCTTGTTTATTAGATGGATACTTTCACATGAAACACAAATTGAGTTAAAATTTTTAGGCAATTTGAGAAGTGAGAGAGCATGAAAGAAGCACAGAAATCATTTAAAACTAGATAAAGTTTGTCAAGACAAAAAAAAAAAAAAAAGCTTGGCCAGAGAGTTTGAAATGGATTTAAAAGCTTTAAGTCAGAAGGTTTTATGGTTGAAGTAGTTATAAGTTTGAGTAGATAGATAGTAGATAGTTCATTCCAACGTTCCATCATTCATTCCATTTTTAGAAAACCAATCAATTAATTATCAGTTAAAAATTTAAAATGTATAAGTAAAAAATAAAAAAATAAATAAAAGTACCAATACCAATTACTTTTAAAATCAGTTAAAACCATTATCGATTATAAGTATACAAAAGTATAAAGATATAAGAAGTAATAACAGTATCGATGATAATTACTTTTAAAATAAGTTTAAAAAAAATTGATTAGAAGTATAAAAAAGGATAAAAATATAAGTATAAAAAGTTATAAAAGTTTCAATACTGGTTACTTTTAAAACCATTATCGATTAAAAGTATAAAAGGTTTATATAAAAGTATAAGTATAAATAGTAATGAAAGTCTACTGAAAAACTAAATATCCAATCAGTTCTAAATTATATAGCAATCTCTTTCAGAACAGTCTGAAGGTCTGACCAGAGTTTGGTAGTTGTAGCTGTGATGTACTGAAGGAGTTACAGTCACCAATTTTATTCCCAGCAGAAGAATATTAAGTTTAAATTGATTTCTCAATCTTATGAATCTGTATGATCTGTATGACAACGTATGATTTTTAGTAAAAAGCTTAAACCTAACCATCAGTGGGATCAGTAACCATAAGCAGGTCGTATAAAAACATACAAATGACATTTGCCACCAATTCTCCAAAAAGTAAAATGTTTCTGATTGCTCAATTCAACAGGTCAATTTATAACCAAGTATTCCAGAGATCAAAGGGGAAGAAGTATGTTTTTGAAGGTTATAAACTGTACAGAAAATTGGCAAACTTGAAATCAAGCAGAAATACAGTGGGGAAAAAAAATCGACTTTGGGTCTGAAATGTGGGTTAACATATACTCGTAAACCGCTATCCATTAGCATTCCCATTCATCTCAGTGGCAGTTACACAACTTGTATGCTACAAAGTTTGCTTAATGGCCACCTTTTCAATTCTGTTATTGCGTTCATTTCATTTATATCTTTTATTTCACTAGAATAAATGGCAGTCGATTATAATTTTACAGGTGCAAAATCCTATTCTAACCAGCCAAGCCAAACCAAAGACATAAAGCCAGTTAAAAGGCATTAATATTAACTTTTTGGTTGCATGACAGATCATTTCTTTCCCAAATGCTTGTGTTTTTCCTCTACGTCTTTGCTGTGCACCATCTCCTTTGAAATAAATGGATTCCTAGTGTTCTCTGATAAACTGGTGTGCAAACGTCCGTACCTTTAGTGTGTTTGTGTGTGTGTGTGTATTTGCCACATCTGCCCTCATCATATTATTCTTACTCTGACTGAGAGACCCGCTGGTGTCCGAAAACCATGACAATACATCAGCCCCATTGCTTTAAAGAGAAACGAGACAGAAGATACCTGTCTTCTCTCAGCTTCTGCTTCCTGTCCTCTAAAAGTTGCTTAATTATGTCCGCATTTATAATTGATGGGCGTTGAGCAATCTGTCTCTCTCACACACTGGAATATTAAAGCGTGTCTCAAAGAAACATGTCAGGTGTGTATTATCGTAATGGTTCATTAAACGCCTTAACAGTGTTTTGCCTGTTAGATTGTCAGTGCACACTTATTCATACAACAACGACAAACCATGGCTCACTGCAAAACTCAGACAGCTCCGTCAGGCCAAAGAAGATGCTTACAGGAAGGGGGACAATGTCTTGTATAAACAGGGCAAATGCACACTGGAAAAGGAGATCAGAGTGGCAAAGAGGAATTATTCTGAAAAACTAAGGACTCCGTTCACTTCCAGCGACTCGGCATTAGTGTGGAAAAGTCTGAAAGAGATCACCAACTACAAGACACCATCCCCCAGCACTGTGGAGAATCAACAACTGGCAGACGATGTGAATGAGTTCTACTGCAGGTTTGAAAAAACACCCCACACCGCCTTGAACACCTCTCCACAACCATTCACACCTCCTGCAACCCCCCTCTCCCCCACACCTGCACCTCAAATCAGTGAAGACGAGGTGCGCCAGGTCTTCCGGAAGCAGAAAAGGAAAAAAGCACCAGGCCCAGATTGTGTTACACCAGCCTGTTTGAAATCCAAATTGAATCCTAAAACCGAAGATGTCTTGAGTTCCAGTCCCTGAGCAACTGATACTCTACTGCCATAGGCTCATCTGCGTTCGAGGGGAGGGGCTTACTGATAGGTCAATTGTGGTATGGGTCTTTACTGCAGCGAAAATGCCCTAAACATGAGACATGCTTTATATTAAGTGTTTCAGACTAACTCGGCATACAGTGCTGCTTAAAGGTGCAGCATGCATTGACAGCTAGTGGTTGAAATGGGTACTGCAGTTCAAATTCAAAATATTGAGTGTGTTGTTTCTCCTGCCCCCTCCTCAAGGCTCACACGGGTTGCCAGATTGAGGACATGCAACAAGAACAAGCGCAATTGTCAATGCCGGGTGAGGAGCCTTGCACTGTAAGTTGATGAGTTTAATTATCCGAATATTAATATGCGCTGGTCATAGAGCTTTTCTAGGTGAATGCTAGGGCTTTTTAGGCTGAATGTGTCACGGCGCGGTCTGGAAAGACACCGTGTGAACGAGGGTTTTGGGTCCAAGTGCAGGCTTTATTCACTGCCAGGGAAAACAAAGGAAAAAACAGAACATAAACAGAGCTAAGACTCTGAGACACGCTAGAAACACGCAAATGGGCACTGATGCAAAACGGCCACCTCTGGCTTGCATCAGTCCCGGAACAGACACTAGAAACACTCGTACCCCTCGTGACTACAAACAAACAGTATAATGCTCGTAACACGCATCAACCAAACATTATACCAACATTATTCATCCGCCCCGAGTGGCGTGGGGAAGGCGCCTAAATAGTCCTCGTGACGGGCCACAGCTGTGTGAGAGTGAGTGTGTGCACAGGTGTGTGGAGTGCAGGTGATGGAGTCCCGGATGGGCGACAGCTGTGTGTGTGTGTGAGTGGGTGCCCAGGTGTGTGGTGTCAAGGTGACGGAGAAAGAGTCCGGGAGGATGGGAGATGGCGACCTCTGGTGGTGAGAGGGAGAACACCAGACGCCAGCCCCTGACAGAATGAATAGAATCTGCAAACTCTGACCCAGTTTATTTGCTGGCTTCCATGTGTGTAATAAGCTGTTTTCCCCTGCAGCTGGGAACCTGGGGTGTAAAAATACTATTGGGTAAGTTGTCAGTGGGTGGAATCACAGACCAAATCAAAAACAGACATTCTGACATGGAACACTTTTGTTCACTTTTTTAATAGTTAATTTTTTTTGTTTTTCTCCTACTGTACTAAAAACATACTGAACTGCCGTTTTTGTGTACCATTACAAGAAACTCAAATAACAGTCTAAAACGGGTCAAAAGAAAGTAAAGTGCATTCAAATGGTCAGATGAACTAGATAAGTTCTTGAATACCAGCAAACTCTTGTGTATGTAAAGGGTTTAGTTTGTCTAGCCATGCTAAATTCTGTAAATATGCTTTTTATTTTTATTTTTACAGATTTATACAAATTCTTTCGGCCTTCATGTCATCAGTGTGTATTTTAAAAATTGTTACTATTTAATGTATTTTATTAATAATTAATACTGTTGAATTTAAACTGTCGTCTTGCCCATAAATTAATTTTATTTTTTTTGTGCATTTGTTGTAGATTTGCCAGCATTCAGTCAAAATTGGCCCTGTTTACGCTATCATGTTGTTGTTTTTTAAAGAAGTGATTACATTATTGTAAAAATTACTTAACATTTGGCATGCTAATGTGTGCTACTGCTATCTAGTTAACCCGAAAGAGAGCGGAGTTATTTTGGCATGTCTAATTTTATCAGGACTATCCATTACACAAGAGTTTGAGTTGAGTCTACATGCTATTTTATGAAACACATTTGCAGCACATGGAAACACTGTTCACAATTGAATCAAGTTTAGCTAAAGAATGATTTTGTTTGAGTGTAATATTGATTTGATAATGAATTGATTTATCATGCATCACTAATATTGGCAGTTATTGAACGAGTCTGGGAGAGGAAATGGATTTGTTGCTTTTATTTCTCTGTTCGTAAAATGTTAGCATTGTAAGCATTTCACAAAGATTATTTCTTTAAGATTAATATGACTACATCATTTCAAAGTAGAAGTATCATAACTATACTGACATACTAATGAGCACATTTTTGTAACGGAATTACAAGTGATGAGCAAAAAAACCACAGTATCACAGACATTATTACAGGATGTAATGAGTTATTTGAGAACTTTTACTGTACATTCATAAATGAATAGCTGTCATCAGCAGTCTGGTGTGAATCTCTCACACATGATCACGCTGTACATCAGTAGATGTGGTCTGTCCCGTTTCAGTCTGGACTCTCTTCAGTCTGGAGCAGCAGTGAGGCATCCTGATGATTTTCTCAGCGTCGCTCCTCATGAACACATACAGCAAACAGTCCACAAGTGGGTTTAACAGATGAAAAAGAGCAGTAAATTTGAACAGACTGGGTATTATCCAAGTTATTACACACAATCATTACAATATCAATTGGTAGGATTAGAAAGGTGAAACTCATCAACACAAAAAACAGAGGAGTGAATTGAAATTTGAAAACAATTGAAACCTGGAAATGTAGAACCCAGACGATTTAATCAAGATGTTCTTCACCTCAATCTTGTAATCTTGTCTCCACCAATATTTGCCAGACCTACGATGTAAGATTATGAAAAACATTTGATCTATTATACATTGATTAATTACATTGCACCATAAATCAAAATGAGATCTTATAATAAGGCAGGGGTTCTCAAACTTTTTTGTCAGCAGAACCCCTTAGATTTAAAAGGTTTATTTGAAGTTAACATTTTTATAATTTGACGGCACATTCAGATATTTACAGTTCTCTAATGAGTAATGACAGTAAACATGCAAGTAAACAGATATTATATTATCTATATTATATCTCGTTAGTATTCTTTTGAAGTAGTTTTTGTATTCAGTTCAATTTAGTTCAGTCATGAGTTGCACTTAAATTGAACTACATTAAATGTTTAACTTTTCATCAACTCATGAATTCACAGGTTAACCCCCGTTTGGGAAACCTTGTAATAAGGAAATATCACATACACAATTTTTGTTGCTGCGGGTGATCACGCCCTTTTTACCCTGACAACTTCAACAGTGAACAAAATTAACATATGAACACACAATTGACTATCAGATCTCAATATAAAATGCATAGGGTGATAGCAGTATGGTGTTTGCCAAAAAAAAAGTTTAATGTGAGAATACACATTAATTATGAATTACAATCTTAACAGGATTATTCCTTAAAGATTTGCTATACTGTCAGGACAACATATTTCCAGCCATACAAAGAAGTCCTAACTTCAATCATCTGTGTTGTGATGACAATACTTCACTGCAGATTGAAACCCTTGTTCTATCTATATCTATCTATATCTATCTATATCTATCTATCTATCTATCTATCTATCTATCTATCTATCTATCTATCTATCTATCCTTCACCAGATTCATTTATGTAATCATGGAGTGATGTAACATATATGCAGTTATATTATTCAAGCACCCAATAATTATGTAAAATAATAGTAGTTGGAAAAAGATGCATCTACCCTTTTAATTTGACTCATAGGCATTTATTGAAGGGTAAAGAAGCACCAAAATATCAATACTGTAGCACCAACTTGTCAGGAAGTTCACAAAGTCATGGCCCATGCACACATAAAGTTCTTCTGCTACTTCCAGTATCGTGCCAGTCCTCATTTCGACAGTGGAATAGCCACAAAGAGAAGTACTCACTTATGCTGTACTGGACACACAAAGCGACTAAACCTTCATTTTGGAAGACCTTCCTGATGACTTAATTGCTATCACTCAACCAGTGCAACTTAGAATTTGCACCATGACAGCTGTTGACACCATCACTGCATGTAAAAGGGTTCGTGGTCTGCAAGTTCGAGGACTTCAAGCAGCAAACTCTATTCAACTACAGCAAGCATATACTAGAGAGACTTCATTCCTGTTGACAAGTCCTATATTCCAACCGAGGTCAGTACTGCATTGGCCTCACCTCAAACTTCTGGCCAATCAATTGTTACCACTTCAGAACTGTGAAGTTGGACTGTTAATCTGATATGACTGCCCATCAGATCTAGCTTTCCTCAAAGTCATAATAGGTGGTGAAAATGAACCATTTGCACAAAGAATTAAGCTTGGCTGGAGTATTATAGGCCTCTCCAATCCACACCTAGACAGACAGGGAAATCAGAGCTTCATCCATAGAGTTGCAGTTAAAGAAAAACCTGTCCAATCACCCAACGATATCTTGAGAATTCTAGAGTCAGATTTCAATGAGAAAGGTTATGAGGATAAAAGTTAGGGCCGCACAATTAATCAAATTTTTAATTGCGATTACAATTATGGATGCCACAATTTAGTAATCATTCAAAGTGGCAATTAATCGTTCAAAGTCCACTTATGTTATTCTGCATGCTTAAGATGCATTTTCTTCTTTCTACATGTTATTCATATTTTTACTTTTTTTATAATTTAAAGAAGAAACCAATCTGATGTATAGTTGACACTTGAGGCTTAATACTATGGAAAAGCACAAAGTTTTTCAGTTAGAGTGTTTTCAGCTTGTTTGTTTTCATATAAAAATACGGCATACAGTTGCATAAAACAATGGTATAAACATCATTCAATGTAAATTGTGATAATCGTAATTAACAATCACTATTACAATTTCAAGGGAATAATCGACAATTCTGGTTTTTGTCATAATCGTGCAGCCCTAATAAAACTGTGTCTCAAGAGGATGTTCGTTTCATACAGCATATCAGTGCCAATATCAAACAGAAGGCTAATGGACATTATGAACTTCCTCTCCCTTTCAAGTGTATCGGCCGACCCTCACTGCCAAATAACAAAAGGCTAGCAGCTGCTCGCTTGCAGCATTTGAAGAAAAGGCTCAAGTCTAACAAGCAATATTGTGATCACTACAAGGCCTTCATGGAAAAGATCATTAACATAGGTGATGCTGAACCAGCCCTAGTGATACCAGAAGGAGAGACTGCATGGTACATTCCACACCATGGGGTGTACCACCCTCGGAAACCAGATAAGCTGAGGGTCGTGTTTGATTGTTCTAAGTTTTGTGGTATATCTCTAAATGACACTCTTCTGACCGGCCCTGATCTAATTAACTCATTAGTGGGAGTACTCTGCCGCTTCAGAAAGGAACTAGTCGCAGTCACCTGCGACATACTGTAGAAAAGATGTTTCACCAGTTCTTTGTCTCTCCAGACGAATGCAATTATATAAGGTTTCTATGGTGGGAGGGTGGAGACTGGGAGAAAGAGCCTCAAGACTATCGTATGGCAGTCCATCTCTTCGTCGCTACATCGTCTTCTGGGTGTAATAATTTCGGCCTGAAGTACCTGGCGCAGCAGTAAAAAGTTAATCAGCATCAGAGTTTGTTGAAAAGAACTTCTATGTAGACGATGGGTTAACCAGTGTTCGTTCAGTCGATGAAGCCAAAGAACTGATCACTGATGCTCAAGCGCTGTGTAAACGCAGAGGCTTAAGGCTTCATAAATTCAACTCAAATGAGGAAGATGTTCTCTGCTTCATAGACCCATCAGAAAGGGATATAATGTCTAAGCCCCTTGACTTAAACCTTAAAGCAACACCAACAGGACGTGTACTTGGTATTCAGTGGTCAACAAAAGATGACACTTTCAGCTTCAACTCCAACTTTAAAGATCAGCCATCAACTCGCCGTGGTATCTTGTCTGTCATCGCCTTCCTGTACGACCCACTCGGATTTGTTGCACCATTCATTCTACAGGGAAAGTGTATCCTGCAAGAACTGTGCCGAAGAGGCATAGGATGGGACGATCAGCTTCCAGATGAATTGTGTTCACGGTGGGAGGATTGGAAAAAATGTTCTTCAAAAGCTTAAGGAAGTCGCCATACCAAGATGTTATCACACAAATGCTTTCAATGAAATCATCAGAACGGAGCTGCACCACTTCTCCGACACAAGTAATGCTGGATATGGAGCTTGCTCTTATCTCCGTTTCAAAAATGATATGAGTAAAGTGTACAGAGTTGCACCTACAAAAATCACAAGCATACCAAGATCTAGAAAAGCTTCAGGACCAGATGGTGTTTCACCTGCCTGTTTAAAAGTCTGCGCTGACCAACTGGCCCCCATCTTCACACAGATCTTCAACAGATCATTGGAGCTGTGTGAAGTTCCCTGCTGCTTCAAACGCTCCACCATCATTCCGGTCCCCAAAAAGTCCAAAATCACTGGACTTAACGACTACAGACCTGTTGCTCTCACATCTGTGGGCATAAAGTCACTTGAGAGACTGGTCCTGACCTACCTGAAGGACATCACTAGACCCTTGCTGGATCCTCTTCAGTTTGCCTACAGAGCAAACAGGTCTGTGGATGATGCAGTCAATATGGGACTGCATTACATCCTGCAACACCTCGACAGACCTGGGAATTACGCAAGGATCCTATTTGTGGACTTCAGTTCGTCCTTTAATACCATCATGCCTGATCTTCTCTCAGACAAACTCACCCAGCTCTCCGTGCCCACCTCCATCTGTCAGTGGATCACCAGCTTCCTGACAGACAGGCAGCAGCTAGTGAGGCTGGGCAAACTCACATCCAGGACTATCACCATCAGCACTGGTGCCCCCCAGGGATGTGTTCTCTCCCCACTGCTCTTCTCTCTCTACATGAATGACTGCACCTCTAAACACCCCTCTGTCAAGCTCTTGAAGTTCGTAGACGACACTACAGTCATCGGCCTCATCAAGGATGGAGACTGATTCTGATTCTGATTCAGATTGGAACTTGCGGCATCTGTCTTATCTGTAAAAATTAGTGTCATGCTGAAAACAGAGCTTGAAATGAAGATTGATCAAGAATTCTTCTGGACAGATTCACAGGTTGTTCAGGGATATATTAACAATGAAGCATGAAGATTTCATGTATTCGTTGCTAACTGTGTGCAGCTGATAAGAGACATTACGGATCAGAGTCAGTGGTATTACATTAATAAAACAGAAAACCCAGCTGATCACGCCTCTAGAGGGCTTCATGCCTCTGACATCCCTTCATCGATCTGGTTATCAGGACCCAAATTAAGTAGTAAGTCTAACACCGTACACCTCTGTCAACCTGCTTGTTGGTGAACCTGAAGTTAAATCAGTCCAAATATTCGCGACCACAGTCAGTGACAGTACGGACATTCACAGTTGTTTCAGTCGATTTTCTTCTTGGTCAATGCTTCTAAAGGTTGTTGCAAGGATAAAAAGACTAGGATCAAAAGAGAAATACCCCAGTGATTATGTTACTGTTGATCAAACTTGTCCAGCAGGAAGTGTTCTCCAAAGAAATAAGAATGATCGAGAAGGGGAACACTCTTCCAAGTGCTAGTGCGTTGTACCAGCTAGATCCATTTTGGACAAAGGTCTTCTTCGTGTAGGTGGAAGACTGAGAAAGTCATCACTCAGTCAAGAACTAAAACATCCTGTGATTCTCCCAAAAGATAGTTACATCACCAAGCTAATTCTGTCACTTTACCACACCAAGGTTTGTCATCAGGGTCGAAATCAAACTCAAATGGTGCTTAGAACGAAATGATTTTGGATAGTTGGA